ACGGGAAGCAAATAGAATAAAAGCTGTTAATGAGTAACCATTTTGCCTGTTACAATTTGCAAAATTTTTATTGTAATTTTTCTCCCCCCTCTCAGTATTACTTGTCCTCCCACCATTACCCCAGAAGATTTCTCTCATTATTTAGAGCACAGTCACAGTATCAATAATCGCACAGGAAAATCAAAGTATTACACTAATATTTTCAGGTTAGTGAAATAAAAGATGTAACCCTACCAGTTGATGGTGAAAAAGTGATTTCCATTTCAACTAAGTGAAAGACTATGATAAATTACAACAACTAAAGGTGAGAGTTTTTTGAAAGAACATTCTGTACTTTCCACATGAGAGTTTTTGGAGAGGAAAGCTGGAAGTTTTCTGAGGTTTTAAGCTTGCTTTTGATAAGCTTTTGAGAATTTGTATCCCAAAACAATGGAAAAAGACTAACACTGACCCAATACTTGAACTGAAACTGAAAAGCAAGCTGGCAGTTGTGTTCCAATCAATCCCAGACAAAATAAAGAAAAAATTACTAGAGATCAGGAGACAACATCTTAAAGCATCCTTTTTCCTACATGGACCTCTAGTTATGTGTCCTTACTTTTTTGTCTCTGACTGCAATATTTTTCTAAGCTTGGAACGGCACAAAACCTTTCTTAAACCTTGTATCCTCGCATTATTCCTATCTGAAGCTCTAGCTGGCTGTGTATACAAGCTCCTTGACTTCAACCTTTGGTCTTCAAGTAGCATAAATAATTTTAATGAGATATATGGAATGGATTCTTGAAGCTATAGAAATAACCAGGAGAGATTATGTAGGCTGCACTTTAATGTAAATTGCTTTCAATAATGCTAAATGGAAACAAAGATTTGTGAGTCAGTGGGAATGGGATTGCTTAGAAATGTTAGGTGAACTGGCAATTTTCAGAAACAGGCAGTTAAATAAAGAAATATTTTCCCCCCTATATCACAAGTTACAAAACAGGTATATCCATTTGCCTTCTTTAAACTATTTTATGTTGTTAAGAGAATAATAACTAGGAACCTGCTCTGAAGTTTTTCTATTGCCATGGACGAATATGCACACAGTAGTTACTTCTACATATGCTTTAAGATCATCATTAAGAATATGGTTTCTAAAAGTTAGATGCAAGATTTGTCACTCAGCAGATTAGTCCCCTGCTGGTGAGATCAGCAACTTAAGTTTTTATAGTTTAAGATAGTTGTTTGTATCCCACAGGTGATATCATCACCCATGTATTAATTTATTATCTTAGCAATATTAAAATAATCTTTATTTACTTACTGCTGTTACTGAGCTCTTAATTAAGATACATTTTATTTTATTGTTGTAAAGGCCTAATTTCTCTTATGTTGCCTGAAATGTCTTGATTCCTGGTTAATACCTGGGGAATTGACAATGTCGCCTGCTTGGCCTTTCTACCTGGGACCAGTAGCCCCAGCCACATCTCCGTATCTACCTAATCTACTTCTCACCTTGCTACTGTTATGCTTCTTATCTTTCCCTGTTGTAGCTGAGTTCTACCATCCTGAGTACACAATTATTCCTGCAGCACAGAAACTACAGCAACATGGGGGGAAATGATTAGGAGGTATAGAGCCAATACCTCCTGCAGCAGCCCAGCTTGTCCCTCTTGCTCAGGAAGTGCAAGAGTAGCTGTAGCAACCCTTCCACACGCACAGGCTCTTATAGGATCATTCCTGTGGCTCACTCTAGGGTTCCCAAAAGAGATTTCAAGTGGAAGGACCCAGGAACAGCTAATGCTTTTTCCTGGGCTAATGTTACACCTCTCCTAGCTTTTCTCTAGCCCAAGATAATATTAATACAAGTGTCTGTATTTTCTCCATTGGCTGGGGAAAGTCGTTGAAATCTTGCTGAAATTCCCCACAGGCTTGCACTTCTCAACAGCTGGATTGGAAGGCTTGCTGGAAAGCATCATGACACGTTTCCCTGGATTTCCTTTGTTTGGAGATCAGAATAAGGAGGGATGGTGCGGGGCCAGTTCTTGTCTCAGTTCTTGACATACTGGCAGACCAGGGGCTTATCAAGTGCCCAGGTTCAAGAGTTGGGAACATCTTCTCATTCTTTTTGATAAGGACACAGCCTAGGCAATTTTTTCAGAGGAAAAACTGTAGGATGAGATATTGAAGTGATCATTAAGAAAGCATTAAAACATTTCTGTTATGAGATACAAACTGTTATATTCTTTCAAGTCACCAGTGTGTGTAGAAACGTGCCTCATAGAGCTAAGTCAAGCTATAAATGAAACTGTTATTACTTGATATACAAGTCTGAAGATAAATTATAATCATGTCTTCCAAATGTGTAATATTATCTCTGTAGGAGCTGACCATATTTATGGCTTAGACAATATGCATAATTTTACTGCTATACATTAACATTTATTTAGGGCAGTGTAATGTAATTTAAGTTGATGAGTTCTTGTCATCTTTATAAATTATTGTTTTAGATGTTTGAGAATTCTAGAAAGAGAAGATGAAGAGAAACCTCAAGATGAAAGAGCACATAATCCAATTTTTGGGGTTTTTTTTTTTTAGTTATACAAAGCACAGAGGCTCTCCTTTCCTATTGCCTTCTGGGTTTCACAGGTTTAAAACTCATACTTTTGTGATGTTCCTCACCACTTTGTATGTATTGAAACACATTCAGTCTCAATAAATTATTTTTTTTCTCTGTAATTTATATGATAAATTATTTTATGATCATATATCTTTGAAGAGTAAGGGTAAGAAGTTATGCTTTGGAAGAAGTTTATGCAAATTCTACATGTGTTTAAACTACAGTATAACACAGAGGAGTATAATACAGATTTTTTTTCCCACTTTGTAAAATCTGTACCATTTAGTACAATGTACTTGCTTAAGTGTTTGCAACTTTTAGTGTTTTATGATTTAGCATTTGTTACAAAAAGTTATTCCCTGCTGTCTTTCACCAACCCCTCACCCTTCAACATACATATCCATCCATCTGATATGTCAGGGGAATTATATTTAGCCTGGCAGTTAAAGCAGATATATCTCTTTCAAACTCCTTCTGTCCTGACCATCCTGTTTAGAGGATGTGGAAGCTCTGGGGAGCACATACAGGTTATTGACTGCTAGGTGCCTGCAGGAGTTTGTAAGCCCTGTCCTTCACTTGTTGTCAGTCAGTCCTTAACAAGGCATGAACAATTAAGGTGGGGCTCATGAGCTCTACCTGTCACTTACTGTTGGAAGCTAGTTCCCAAATGAAATAAGTTAATAAAGTTGCAATCTAATTAAGCTGCCATCCTTCATATCTTTTATGTCTGGGAAATGCATTGCAACTAATTGTGTAATTTTCAGCCCATGTAAGGATAAGTTTTTCTATTGTTTTATTTGCAGTAGAGTCACACTATTTACTAATTCTTTGCCAGTCATTAGATAGTGTGCCTTGAAAATTGTCTTTGAAGTAACTTGTAGCAAATCACAAAGATGAGTTATATGCTTTCCTCTCCAAATGGTTAGTACCTTTTCAAGAGGTAGTGATTTTTTTTTTTTTAACTAATCTTTGAGGAGAAATAGGAACACATAATGACTTTTCAAGACTGTCTCCTTCAAGACTCCCAGTGCTTAGGGTTGTTTAAAGCACAAAACACTACTGATTGTCAAATTACAAAGTTGTTCATATGTTATCATTGTAATGTGAGATGGTGGCACCAAAGTGGAGCAGGCATACAGAAGAAAGGCTTCTGAGTAGACTCCCTAGCCTTTATTTCATTTCATATGGGCTTGCATCCTTTGTCGAAAGAAAGATCTTTCATACAGTGTATTTTCAGGCATCAACAATGCACTTTTAAACAGTTGGATACAATGATATCTTGAACTGATAAAAATCTGTGTTTATAGATAAGGAACATAAAATAAGATGTAGAATGTTAAAATAAAAAAATGGTGCATAAACTCTCAGTTCCATTCTAAATAGTCTTAAATAATGTGAATAGATTATTTTTAATCTGGTAGATAAACTTGATATTTAACCTTGTGTTCACTGAGTTAATGGGAATCTACTTGACTGTAGATTTCAGCAGGGCAGATCTCAAATTGAGATCTGCAGACCTGTCTTTCTGCTGGTAAAAGAAGATTTTGAGCCTTTGAAATAAGTGGCTGAATTCCTACAAAGGACATGGGATTTCCTGTTGATTGTCACATAAAATATAATTTTCCTGAACTTCATTTTTGTTAAGTTTTCCACTTAATACTATCACCTATGGGTGTAAAGAGTTCTTTGGATTTGGAAATAGATGATTAATGTGGACAATTCCTACAGAATCAAAATTTCATAATGTATTGATTTGCTCTGTATTCCCTTTGAAGGAAAAATGTCCCTGTAGGAAATAGCAGATAGTACACGGTTCTCAATGTGAAGCATAATTCACTAGTAAATACAAGGAAAGTCTCAGAATAAGCACTTTTCAATATGGAGACAGATGGCCACATCACTTGGCAAGCATTCAGCTTTTTTCCCTGACATGTTTAAATAATATTTATCAAACAATAGACAGGGATAAAAATCAAGGTAGCCTTAAATTTATCTAAAACAGAATGGCAAGCTGCTGTAGAAGTGTCCTATAAATAACAATAAACAGCTGTTGAATGAAAGTCAATAAGGTGGAAAGAGAGTTTTTCTACTGGATTGTAGAAATACATATACCTATATTTCTTTTTCTTGTAATGAAATATCCTGTCCTCTTTCCTAGACCAGAATCCAACATACTGTTTATATACCTGGCACAGTGTACAATGATTAGAAGCAAAACCAGATGGCCATATTTTTCCTTGTCTTGTTTATTTAGGTGACGGATAGATGACTCCTACCTTTACCTATCAATCTGACTGTAATTATTTATGTGCTACTGTGAATTTTTGCACACAAATACTCATGGATGTACAGAACACACACGCAAATAGAAGTAAACCGACTCTCTTACTTTCTTCCTTAGGCTTAGAAAGAATTGCAAGAGATTCATCCTACGAGCAAGAAGGAAAAGTTCAGTTCGTAATTGATGCTGTATATTCCATGGCCTATGCACTACACAACATGCATAAAGATCTCTGTCCTGGATATATTGGTCTATGCCCAAGGATGAGCACAATTGATGGTAAAGAACTACTTAGCTATATACGGGCTGTAAACTTTAATGGTAAGTTACATCTACTCTTTTTCCCCCTGCTTTTTCTTCTTTAAATGTTTCAGAAGTGAAAAGATGTGTTTTCTTTATATAGGATACTTTAAGGCACAGTGGAAAACAGGATTAGAAGCAGTTCTCATTTAGAGAGAACTGCTTTAGAACTCAGAACTGTGAGTTTTTCCACCTGCTTTGAAACCCCGAGTGTATTTTTCATCTTAACATTAAGCTGCTCCCAAAAGAGGCAGATGTTAAAAATAAGAGTCTGTCGATCAAAATATTCTGGTGAAAAGCTGCTATTATAGAAACAAGTTGAGGACTCATGCAGTCCTATTGACAGATTAAAATCCTTTGACAGAGGTTGCTTATGTGTTTGCAAGAGAATGAATTGAAAAGAATACCCTCTTGAAATTGCCTTCTTCTGAAATTAGTGTTAACAATTTCCTTACAGAAGTGAATAGTGAGGAGTTTGCTTTCAATTTGCATGTTTAAATCTCAATTAAAACACTCACTAGCAGTTCCAGCTTCTTTTCCATGTCATTATTTTTGACTCAGTGATTTAGTGAGCTTTAACGCAACTACAGTATATATTTTTAAACAACACTACGTAATATTCTGTGCAGCTGGGATCTGTCTGCTGGGGAAACGCAGTTACAGATGCTTGTGCTGTTAAGAGTAGAGGCCAATAAAGAACAGAATTAATTTATGAATGTAGAATTGAAAACGGTAGAACATACTTGATGGTGAAATAAAGTTGCTGAAAACCTACATTATTTAATTAAAGTCATAATTATTACAGACTATATTTAGCATTATTTTACAAAGAAATGGAACAATGTTATTTGCTGTGTTTTGATTGATTTTTTCCCTTACTTGGTGGTAATTCACATACTAGACATGCCTTCTAACTATGCAGAGAGAAGCACTGTCTGTCACAATTTATTCCAATGACCTCAGCTGCCAGCCTTTTTGAAAAAAGCACAAGGTCGTTTTGAATTTAGCTTCTGAGTGGAAGGTTTTTTTGCTTTAGGTAATATACCAGACCATTTGGTAGATATGAATGCTGGCTAGAATTCAGTTTTTTTTCTCTTCTATGATTTTTTTCTTCCTATGCAATTTTCATGAAAAGGGAATCCCTGTCTGCAGGAATATAAAGATGGAAGGTGTTTAAATGATTCTTTAGTGATTTTAAAGAAAACCTGGAGCAAAATATGTTCCTGTTAACGGGAAATGTTGTTATGACGACAAGGTAGGCAGCATATTGTAAGGTTTGCAGTGATAATTATCTACATTTCTAGTAGATATTCTTCTGGGCCTGTGTTGTTAAAGCACAGAGAAAGTGATCTATTTTCATTTGGTGAGCATGGAAGTTTAACATAAAAAGATAAGCTGTCCATTTTATATGAAACCTTTCTCTCCCTAGATTGTTGTATTTCATCAATATCTGTCAAGATTTCTCTGGCTGACTCTAAGTATTGCAACAAGGGGAGATGAAAGAGTGGGATAAAGTACTCGGTACACTAATGAAAAAGTATCTGTTTTTCAACTAGTGATTTACTGAAAGGGAGGAAAAAAGAAAAAAAAAAAAAAAGAAACATTTCTGTGAGTCTGTGGGATACGTTAACTGTTCCCTGTACTAGAATAGTTCACATAATGTACTGGTGTACCAATTTATTTGGTCATGTTATGTTCCCAAATATCTTATTTATTTTGGTAATACTTTGGGAGGCATAAGCAGAGGACGGTCTTTAACCCTTGGTTTTTTGCTATTAATCCCAAATTCATGTTCCTTAGAACAACGCTGCCGCTGTGTCTGACTTGGTTTACAGAGGTGAATATTTACATAGATTGCTAGACCTCCTGTGCTGGGAGTTAACAGTAGTGCTGTGTGTCGATTTTGATGTGCATCCTAGGTTCACCTAAGTGGGTTTCACCTCACCAAGTATGACCTGTGTTATGAAGGACACCTCTCTGCCTTATGGAGGGTATTTGCAACGGGAAGAAGAGATACATATTTCTGTTTATTGGAGTAACCTTTGCTTTTGATTGCAAGTAATCACTTTGAAATGTGTTTATTTTTGTTTACCCTGTTTATTTTTATTTACAAATTATGAAGAAGATTTGTTCCCCTGAAGGATTAATCTGAGTAATATTCCATGACACCTTCATGACTGAAGGGTGATCATTACCACCAGCACACAGTGTACTGATGTAATTGATACGACATTTGCTTCTGCTTAGATATTCTTCTACCAGTTGTATGCTAAAATCTCACAGTTCAGGGGATTTTAACGGGGATAGAATCTCTTTATTTGTAACAGGAATGAAGAAATTTATTTGCACATGAGATTTGAGTTACTGCTGAGTGTAGTCTCCTGTTTTAGTATTGCCTGTGTTTTTCTTAGGACAGCCAGCTAAGTATGGTGTCTAAAAACAATTGCTTTTCATTTATAATGTGCAGTTTAATAAATAATTTAATTTAATAGGAAAAGAAACCTCTAACATGTAACATGTACAGCCTATTGCTGTGTACATTGAAAAAAATTTTAAACAACAGGAAAATATAAAGCTAGTGTGCTGAGGTGAGGCAAGTTTAGTTCCCTGTGTTCTTGATGGTCGTTGCTAGTAGACCATAACCAGCCCTTTCTGGCTCTTCGGTAAAAGAATACTTAGAGCTTTCAGAAGTTTCATGCTCCTATTTATCTTTATTTTTCCTCAGGCAAAAAGTAAATGTTGTCACTCTATGGTGTTCTTATTTTAATAAAGATGCTGCATTTTAAATATTTTCCATACCAGTTTTTGTATCCAAACAAAATGAGATATTTATGTGAAATTGGTGTTTCATATTTAAAGTTATGTAAAGCAAATAATTTTTCTGTTAATTAGGTTTATAAATGGTGATATGTGCAATAGTGTAATTGTGGCATGATTCAATATCTTCTGCCATCACATTGCTCTAGTGTTCTCACTCTGTTTGACTTCATTATTCTGTCTACAAAATAACCAGACGTTTTCTAAGAGTTTTTACCCTGGCATGTGCTGAGTGGTCTATGAGAAGTGCTCTGCTGGATTGAACATAAGTGCTTGTCATTTAAGAGAAATAGGACTTGAACATGCATTTGCAGTTGATGGAGGTGTTTCAGAGGTGGTTTTGATTTGATTTGGTTTTGATTTTAAGAAAATGATTTATCTTTGCACTTCTGGACAAAGCCAAAAAAGGATGACAACATGGATACAGTGCTATTTCTTTGGTGGGAATAGAACACAAAGTTATAAGACCGATCAGTTCCCACCTCCCCAGCTGTCCCACTACAAAAGCAAAGATCAAAATAGTTAATTCCAAAGGTAAAGTTCATTACTTGTGTTGTACATGAAACATTTCATATAGAAGCTAGTTCACTCTTTCTATATATATAGATATATAGTTATTATAGGGTAGCTAGTTTTTGCCTACCTTTAGTCATATATTTGTCTTTATATTTACATTAACACACTAGTATTTCCAGGGATAAATATCGAGAAAACATCACACACTAGAACTGTTTACAGACATTACAATATGAGTCTTTCACTTAATCTTAAAGGTAAGGGCACAACTTAACCTTTACTCTTATACACACAAACAGACATTTTATGTGCTTCTATGTGCTACTTATCCTGCGGGTGAACAGGGATACTTGTTCCTTTGACATCTTTTTAGGTGAGAAGGGATAAGTGAGAAGGGAGCAGAGAACAGGTGGGAGCGCTGAGTCCCCTCTGCCATCACTACTTAAGTAAGTGTTGTCTGCTTTTGCTAGAGGTCACTGCAACATCACTTCCCCCTCCTGGTGAAGAGGAAACTCTGGAGATAAATTCTGAGTTTGACTGTACAACCTTTTCCCTGTTCTTCTCTGGGACAAAGTAAAGCAACTATGTTGCTTGCTGGGATTTTGTGACAAATCCACAATAACATTGGAACAGGTTGCCTAGAAAGTTTGTGAAGTCTCTGTCCTTGGTGATATTCAAAACCCCATTTGACATAGGTAACCTGTTCTAGCTGAGCCTGTCGTAAGCAGAGAGGTTGCACTAGGTGACCTCCAGAAGTCCCTTCTTACCTCAGCCATGCCGTGATGCTACAGCCCTAGATGGACTTGAAAGAAAGAGAAGTATATGCCTTACCCTTGTTTTACAATATTAGATGAACGTATGTTACCTTTATTCTATTCTTCTGGAACTAATTTCATAGTCTGAGTGGACTAGTAAGCCTTGCTGTTATTTGAGTCTTAGATATGTTAATTAAATGCCTTCAAGAAAAGATTCATTTTGACTACATACCCAGGAACACACATGCGTGCATTATTAGCCCCATTTAAAAAGAGAACATGCAAAATTTCTTCCTGAAAGGGCAGAATGATACCGTAGAATGAGAATATAAGAACAGGAATTATCAGGCAAACTCAAAATAAGGTGTCAACACTTGTAAACTGAAAATTAATGATCACTCTGCATTGTAATATGTATCTATATAGGGTAGGATTTTTTTTAAAAAAGAAGAATGGGGTTTCTCATGGAGAATTTTGAACCCTCCAGAGAATCATTATTGTGGAATCAGTTGTTTACAAAATTCTTCTCCTGCTATCTTTTGAAGTTGCTAAGACATCAATCTGTGCAAAACTCCCTTGACTTAATATTCAGCTCAGACTGTTTTAAATGCTTTCTTGAAGAAAGCTGACACGTCTCTATTCTTTCACGGAGTACAAAATTTACATTCTCAAATCATTATTTATCATTAAAACAGAAGATTAAAATGGTGCCCTTTGAGGCTGTTAAGTTTTGACTTTTTTTTTAAAGGCATTTAAGCAGAATAGAAGTAAATGTCCCACTTAAAATATACTGGAGCTATGCTACTAACTCAGATTTTTAAAAATCCAACTCTCAAATCTGCAACTACCAACAGAGAGAAAAAACTTTTTGAAATAGTTGAAGTTGGGCACACTTGTGATTTTTAAAGTTATGAGTTCTTATTGTCAATTCAT